TTAAATACAGTGCAAACAACTTAGCAGTTATTCATGTAAATCATGTTCACAGTAAATAGCATCGTACACAGTTGGGAAAAAAATAGTTGAGAAAATAAGGCAGGTAAAATGGTCTCTCTGTCATTGGACAATATCTCAGGAAAGCACAGGTAAAAAAAATAACATTGATTTTCCAAGAAACTGTCTGCAAATTAGAACCGTGAGGACAGTGTTTATATCAAACTACTAAATACTGGGTCCCTGTCTGTTCATTCATGCCTGTGGGCGTTCAGAACAACTGTCGTGGACCAAAGTGGGTCGGTCTGAGGTGTGGGACTGCTGTGGCCCTGGGACACACTGTATATCACATCTCTGCTACTTTGCATTTGTAGTTAAGGCAGGTTTGAAACAATGTTGAGCTGTTGATAATATGTAAACAGAGCCACTGAGTAAATTGGTCTTTCACTTTCTAAATGATGTTTGGAATATGGGACTTTGATTAATTCTAATTGGAATAATCACTAAGGATGAGAGAACCAGGAAAAACACGGAGAGAGTCATCTGTTCTGTCAGTGACACCAAAGCCTCAACTTCAAATGAATGCACGTAGCTTCAAGACAGTGGAAGAAATCTAAAGGAGAAATCTGCTTAAAATAAAACAGTTACTGGAAGTAGGGAGACGGCCGTGTGTGTGAGTGACGGCACAAACACTAGTTTAAAACTGTTTTTTTTTTCACAATAACTCATTCAAACACACTCAAAGACACCCCTAGAAATAATTTTCTCCAATACTGCAGTTAGGACGACAGGGCTTAACTTGGCGAACCTTTTAAAATTCATAAATTTTCACATGACGTCCATTACTATCTGCACAACTGTCTCACCCAATCAGAGCCACCCGTTGCCGTACGTATTCCGAGGCGTGACCCATGCCCAGAGGGAACATGACCCGGGTTTTTGGGCCGATTCCTGCCACACTTGGAGGCAGCTGTCGGGGCGATCCAGCAGACGGCATGATGGCTGACAGGGCGCCACGGAACAGAGAGCCTGCCGTTTCAATCAGCTCCGACTGGTTTTCATTACTCCACTGGTGGTGAAAGCACAGACGGACAAGAAGAGACATTTTCCCAGAGAATGAAACATGGTCAGAAAAGAAAGAGAGGGAGAAAACAGACATTATCCCTTTGAGTGGACAAAGAAATTAGCTGACATAGGAGTAAAGCTGAACTCCAGGCCAGCGAAAGTGCTTTTCTTCCCCTCCCTAACTAACTGGTTTGGCCGGGCCTCAGCAGCAGGGCTAATTAAAAGAAGATGCCGGCCAGGCTATGCTGTTGAATTAGCTCTGTTTGAAAAACATTCCATGCAGTAACGGTCGACACTGGGTGACCACAGGTTTAATTAGCAAACCAGGCCTGAAACCAAACGTGACTCAACCGTGGTGACCCCGTCCATCAGCAGGCCCTGTAAAAATAGCCAGCTTGGGAAAACGGAGTTTCTCCAAACACAAAAAAAGTATAGGTATGTCATTTCCGCAGTGAGGTATTAGTATTGTATAAAGTCTGGGGCAAAACAATGACAAAACTGTTTTTGTGAGTCACTGAAAAACAGCCTGCAGTAACACGTGACCCAGCAGGACGCAGTGAACTGCACACGTAAGCAGGAATACTGCAAGAACAAAGTCATAAATGGGTGACTTCCTTTAAAGGTTAAGGAAAGTGGAAAGTGAACTAATTGTCATTGTGACACACCACACCACACAACCAAATGTGACCTCTGTTTTTAACCCATCACCAAAGTGAGCAGTGGGCAGCAGTGTGTGGGGACGGTGCCCTGCTCAGAGCACCTCAGTGGTAACTTGGCAGCTGGTGGACTCGAACCTGAAACCTTCCGGACCCAAGTCCGCTTCCTTAACCACTAAACCACCCCTTTTTTTTTTTTTAAAGGAAAAACCAAGACTTACAAAAGCTGAGTTTACGGCGTCCACAAAGCTCTCCTCGTCCAGCTCCAGCAGCTCCTCTGCCGTTTGATGGCTGGTTGACCACACCAGAGAGCTCTGAGTGTCCGACAGCTGCGGCCCACAGAGAAGGCAACTTTAATCAAACGTTCACGTGACAACACATCTCGCACTGCGGCTCGTTCAAATGTAAACATATTACCGGTAACATTGCGATGGGTCCTGTTGGGAGGAACCGCTGCCACGCCACATTGTTCTCCGTGGGCTGTGCGACACATAAATCAAATATTACTGTGAAATCTCTCGGTATTGTGTTGTAGGTCCATATTTCACTCACACATAAAAACAAGATGATTTAGGGGCTGCTGTTAGGTGGGCGTATTGTTCTCTGCCGGTTGACAGATTTGACAGCCGAACAAACCACAACAATTGTGAAAAGTGTTTCGGTGAAATGCATTCGTTCTTGGTAAAATGCTCACTTCGGATAAGTGCAGAACAGCAACAACAGCAGACTGATCATAATTCCAATTGACTGTTGGTATTCCCAGCTGTCGCCTCACCGTCGAGTTTGGGCCGTCAGCTCCAATCTGGAAGAAACAGATGGAAAAAAAAGAGAAAAATATCAGAAACACAGTTTGTTATAAACATGACTTTTTCTGTTGATGGCAGATGTTATGGGATCACAACCTGCATCTCTGCCTCATTCTGTTCCTTTCAACTGTTTTTTTTTTCAGTTTTAAGAGAAGAAAAAGAATGAGGTTCAGAGAGAGTGGAACCTTTTCAAGCTTCAAAAATGTTTAACAGGTTTTGATTCAAGTTTATTTGACCAAAGAAAAGAACAGCCTGACAGATAATAATGAAACTTGTTGGACACGCCGAGACACGTCGTAATTTATGAAAAAAAAATCTGAATATTTTGTAAAATATATCTATCCTCAAACTTATTAACACATTTGATGAGCCAAGAAAGAACTTTTTTTTCGTGTGGTCGACTTTTGGCTCATGAGTGGGGGAACGACTCCAGAAAATAAATCAATGAAACTGATAACATTTGTGCATCTTAAACTTTAACGTCTCCAAAGTAGGTGGTGCTAAGGCTCTGCAATACCATTTTATAAAAAGGTTTATTTACAGTCATTTTTCCTGGTATTATGTTACACAGACTACTATTTTTCTGGGTGGTGTACACTTTGGTGAGGACTGTGTATCCAAAATGCTCACCACATTTTGTTGAAGTTGAATACGATAAAACAAGAATCAACTGGTCCAAAACAAAATAAAAAATGTCAAAAACTTTATGTTGGTTGTAGCGTACGACTTTAAAGATGACTTTTTTTCCTGCCCATAAAATTTATCTCAGGCTCTGTGAGTTTCAGTGCATTTTCAGACCATGTGAATTGCAACTGTTCTAAAAAACCAAAAAAAACAAACTTACCAGTAGTTTTGTCTGAAGAACTTCTCCATTGGCTAACATGACCTGGACCCACGGGACGCAGTCAGCTGCTTGGTGGGGCATGGGCCACGTATACGTCTCCACCTTGGATCTGTACTTAACTTGTACATTATCTGTGACACATGGAAACAAAAATAATAACAAAAAATTGAACATTAAAATAACAGCTGATTGACTAAAAAAAGAAATAGATTTTGCCCTTAATATCATCCATGTACATGTACAGTATTATGCCAAACCAGTGCTTTGCAACTTAATAAGAGTCTGCAGCTGGAGCAGTGAAAGATCTCTAAAAACCACCTCATAAAAACACCACTGGTTTTCCTCTCTGGCCAATTCGAGTTGTCAAGGTTCACATCTGACAGTCTTCCTAATGGTGTGTTCCTGCCACATTTCCCTGACTAATAGTGTTTATCTACAAGCACCACTCTGCCACACGTCGCAGTGGCTGCCAGTTTGCATTTAAAACTCTACATCATCCAAAAATATCAGCAGCTGTCATCTCAGCAGATGAAAGACTCCTGAAATACGAGGGCTCGTGCCAATTGCAAGGAGGATCTGTCCACAGAGCAGCTACTGCAGCCCGAAAACGGATGTCAAATATGGCTTTTCATTGATTGGAGAGGAGGGTAACATTAAAAACAGCTGGCAGCCCATGTTTCATGTTCTGCATCTTGAGCGTTGCAGCACGCCTTCTAAAATGAGAGGAGAGAGCGAGGGGACAAATGGGAGGCACATGCGGGAAAAACGTGCAGCAACCACACATCCATAACTTGGTGCAAATTGTTGAAAACTGTTTGTAAATATGTCACGTTGACTGTCGCAAAGACCGGATTGCACTAGATTTATTTGAAAAAAGTGACAGAGAAATAGTCCCGTGTCAGCCGTGCAATTAGACACCGTTGGCCCGTCAGTGTCCTGTGAGGTGGCAGGGCATGGGGACACATGGCAACTTCAAACAGGGCTCTGGACTTTTTCATGTGTCCTCACAGGAAGCTGGAACTCTACAGTGACTTTTTATACAAACCATAGGGAGAACACAGACGAGTCAAAGAGTAAAATATGTTTTTGGTTCATCCTCTCTGGGACGGAGGACAAAACAAACACTTATTCAAGAACGTGATGGAATTAAAACGTGCTGGCATCGGATTCAGATACTATTAAAACAAACAACTGTGTATTTTAGAGTTTGTTTTTACACGTCAAATGTGTTGCAATTGATATGAACCCTGGTTCGTTTACCTGGTTAGTAAAGTTTACTTAAATGTGAGAAAATACAACCACACAAACCGTGGTGCAAACTAAGAGACTGTATCCAGACATTTGTGAAACGGTGGATCCTGATTGGCTTATGGAGAATGATTTGTTTAAGTAAAACCAATATACTATTTGTTGCAGCCTTTGAGGTCTGACTTTTGGTAAAGCTGTTCTCCACAAAGCATCAGTCACTGTTAATCAGAAATGTATCAGAACATTTACCTTTATATTTATCTTAATCCTTTAACTAGTTTTTATTGCATTTTAGGAAAATTCATCTCTAAAGAAAGGCAAGTTAAACAAACTACAAAAGTGAACACATCCTAAATCCTGAGTTCTCACCAGGCAGAGTGTCCAGCTGTTTCGTGAGCGCAGCCACCACCACATCGTTCTCTACGATGTACGCCATCTCGTCCTGCAGATTCTCCTTATCGAATGTGATCAGGGCGTCAGAGCAGGCGTCCCAAACCTAAATGAGAGAGCCATTATGAATGTGGTCTACGAGTCTATTCTTAAATACAACCACCTTTCCATTTATATAACTGGGCAGAGAAACGCTGCTTCAATAAGCAGAACACATCAAAGTTGGCAGAGGTTGGGTCCGACCTGAGGCCTAGTGGGTCATCAACACTCTTTAAGGTGGAGGAGCAAATAACAGTTTGTGATTCGGATGTGTGCGGATGTGTGCAAACATTATCTTGGAGGCCTAAATAACAAATAACATGTTTGTGATGAACATCAGAGCGTCCACAGCCCAGAGCAGCAGAGCAGAGTGAGATATAGTTTATAGCAGACTGTAATTCCAAATCTAGGTTAAACATGGGGGGTGAAAAGTGCTTGTACAAGCTTAAAGCTTTCCAAGTTGTAACTTTCATGACAGAACCCATGATTCTGCAGTAATACGCTGCTGCACACTGCTTTTTTCCAGCTTGCCAAAAAGTAGGGGGGTATGGCCTACAGAAAAACCACTAATGGCAGTGGCTTTGCAACTTGTGATAAGTGGTTGGGAAGAAAGATCCACTGAGACCAGCCCAAAAATCGTTTTGGTTTTGTTTAATGCCTGGTGAAATGATGCAGCTTTGGGGTTGAATGAGTTACTACTCTCTGTGTGTGAGATTTTAACACACGTCTTTGCAACTTGAGCAAATCTCAAATTTGTCTAGTGTGGGCTAAAATTTTTGGGGTTAAAAAAAAAACCAACTCACGATTATTTAACACGATTGGTCATTGACTCTGGAAACGCCTTGTCTTTAAAGCAGATGAGGACAAACAAATGTGATAGTTTACTTCACACCTTTCTGTTTAACTGACCTTTAAATAACTAAATGATAATATAATGTACAGTATATATATAAAAAAGTAAGTATTGACTAAAATCTACTTTCACCATGAAGCTAAATTCTGAGTTATATTTTTTCAAATTTCAGCTGATATTTTTGTATATTATTAATTCTATTATTTTGGTTAGTGGCAAATAAAACATTTGTTTAAAAACACATCTAAGAATGTTGATAAATATATATACAGTATATACACATATATAAATAAATATACCCACATACAATATATGTACATATATATGTATATATATTTACATATATAATATACAGTACATACATATATATGCATATATATAAACATATATTTCTAACTGTCTATGTCTATGTATATATTCTAAACATTTACGTAGACACTCAGATATAAGCATCCTATGTTGTTTGTTGGTTTCCAGGCTATAACACTGCATGGAAAGATTGTTATTTCGAGCCGAGCTGCAGCACATACTTTTGTGCTATGGCTGTGATGTATACGACTGAGATTCATGGGCAAACAAGCCAAAATAGTGGTAGCAGAGGGAAAGGTATAATGGGAGAGGTACACTACCATAATCACTGTAAGGCACAGCATGATGACATCTTAGGCCCAGAGAGAAACCCTGCGGTCCAGTGTTTGGTACACACTAACCACATCTTACAAGCGGGACCGAGCCTGCACCCACAGCCATAAAGCCGGTTAACTCTGCAGCAAACAACCACTCTCCTCGTCTTTCATCTTCTTCCCCTTGTTCACATGAATCTTCTTAATTAGAAGATGGTGAGGAAGGAGTACCAATTTGAGGAGGTGAAAAGTGATTTATCCTCCATTGAAAGGATGGCTTTAATAAATAAAACTCTCTAGGTCATGGAGGCTTCTGAACGTGCTCCGAACAAGCCAAGAGATGGCCCTTCTCCCTTTTTTCTTTATTTTTAAACTCCCCTTGTGTTCTTTGGCACCCAGTGAGCCACCGAGGCTGAGGAGTCACACAGAAGACTACAGTAAATTTGCCCAAGGGGATGAACAAAGTGCATGTTACGCGAAGCCACTGTTTGCCACTTAAATGTTAACAATTGCACACGGTATAGAATATGATACTGTATTGTGTGCACTTGATAATTAAGATAAATGAGTGGCTACAAGCTCGGAGTAATAGATTTTTCTCTCCGCAAATTGTATGGTGCATTGACTGATGGGCGACAGAAATACATACAGAATGCCAGTAAATTAGAAAGTATGAAGGACACATCCAGGAAAACTCCAGTTGTGTAACACAAGCATCTGAGAAGTTGTTCAGTGTTGCAGAAACGAGGAGTTTTTTTAAAGTTCTTTTCCTGGAAATTCTTTTTTTTAACCTTTGACTTTGCAGTGGTGGTTACTGTAGTATACAGTACTGTACAGACACGAAGGGCGTAGTGCACCAAGTATTTTCATACCTGCATTCTCTGATATGGTTTGACTCTCATTTGTAATATGTGCTCCCACGCTCCAATCCCTGTGTGTGAACAAACGTTACAAATTAGTAACATTATCACAAACACTTGTTCCACAAGTGGATGAATATTAAAAAAAAAAAATCCCTCAATGAATATGATGTAAATCACTGCAACCTTTCTTTTAAAAGCCCTTCAATGTTTTCATTGTTGTTTTCAATGAAACGATTAAAAAAAATGTTTTTCTGGTTCTGCTTTTCACTAAAAAACTCATTACATTTCAGATAACTGGACCAATTCTCTGAAGACTTTTAAGTTATCATCCAAGAGGTGTCTTCAGCTGAGGGCTGAGACCTCCAGGAATCAGCAAAATATTGTCTTCACCAATCAAAATTGTGGGCTATTTACAGTAATCTTTTTAATAATGTGTTTATATTTAGGGAAACAGGACAATGAAAATTTAAAAAGAAATGCTGTTTAATAAAGGTTCAAGTGAAATGACCAAGCTACAGATTTGAGCAATATTAGAAAAAGTACAGACTGTTCTGGAAAGAGCTTTTGTATATTTGACGGAATATGTATTTAATTAACAAGAAATTAAATCAATGTGTCCTATTATTAATACATCTGTACATTTCTTGTTGACTTATCACCTAAAATATATTCCAACATTTTACATACAATGACATTATTATAGTGCATTTTTTAGTTGTTGAACAACAAGTGTAAGAGAAAAAAGACATCAAACTTCAGGTCAGAGAGGATCCTCCTCAGCCTCAGTAACTGAATGAACTGTGTCTGATCTCCTGGCCCACACTCTTGCCAAGATGAAGAGCTATATTTAAAGTGGTGGGACTGGAGAGGTTGAATACGTCAAAGAGAGCAACATGCTGTACAGTAGCAGTGCTTTAATTTTATTTAAGAGAGAAAACAGTAAGCAGAAGATTTCACCACACTGAAAAAGGCTTCTGTCAGCTGTCTGCAAAACCTCACTGTGGGGAAAATATAAGAACTACAGAGAGAGACTCAGTGTTTTTAAAAATAATCTATGTATGTCTTTCTTCAATCCCTGCAGGTTTCTCAGCATTATGTTCAACTAAACGGGCCCATGATTAACACCTAGTAAGAAGTTAATTAAAACTAGGACAAATTAAACTGTTAGTTGTTTTAAGCATTTTGTCAACATCATTCAACATAATGCTTTTCATTTAGGAACAAATTGGAACAAATTACAGTTCCCACACTGCCGTGCGAGTCATGCTGCTCTTTTAAAAAATTGGAGCTTTCCCCAGAAACCTTATTACACAGCATTAGGTAAAGTGGACAAAATGGTCTGCTCTCATGATCTATGGAAGCTGAATAAAATACTGAAACAGCTTAATTTTTAAAAATGTATATAAATGTCCTTTCTTAAAAAAAAGAGTCTATAAAACGTTGGCAAAACTACAAAGATTCTAAACAATAAACAATGCAGAATTGTTTTGTACTGATCTAAATCCTTTAGTGATGATTGTTTGTGTTTGGCTGTGTTCAGTGGACACTGTACCGCTAAGCAGGGTGGCAGAACCGGGACTGATGGAGCTGACTCTAGTACTGTAGGAGGCCGGAACCGTGTCCATCACTTTCTTGTTGCCTGCTTCAAGCAGCAGAATCTTCTTGCCCTCCAGGTTTGGATCCATACCTTTCAGTAGATAAATACACATAACATAAAAATACGTCTCACCAAGCAAAGGTCTCACAAAGTTACCACAAAGATTTGTCAGTGTTGGTGAGCTTAGAAATATAAATATTTTGGTTTTGGAAATGAATGCTAAGGTAAAGAGAAGTAGATGTACATGTTCTTGTACGAGTCATCGTTACAGACAGGACCAAAGTAGAATGGAATTTAATACCATATTTACCACAATTTACTGTCATCATCACAATGCACTGCGGTGCACAAAACAGCTGTGCCCTCTAATATTTTCATGGCTGCTTTTGGTTTAATTACAGCTTCCATATTCACTGTGACATTGTCTCTCAAAGCCTTAACAATGGTAAAAATATTTGTTCCCTTAACAGGATGGATCAAATTTTTGGCCAAGGACTTGTGTTGACGTGTCTGACAACTGGCAGCAAACAAAGCATGCTTCTTGGAAAACTGACTTTTTAAATTTTTTAAAATGACAACGATGTTTTGTCTGAGGGTGGGGCACCTGCTGAAGGGGGCGGGGCATATATGGCTTAACCTTGGCCAGACCAACTGAAGCAATCCAAATAACAACACCGATGTTACAGGTGGCACAGAAGACAGAATGCATGATGGGTAATAACCAAAGGTGGGACCACGTCGTTGCTTTGCAAGTCACAAGTAAGTCTCAAGTCTTTGCACTCAAGTCCGAGTCAAGTCTCAAGCCAAGACAGGCAAAGTCCGAGTCAAGTCCAAGTCAAGACTGAAAAGTGTCAAGTCAAGTCCCAAGTCCTGCCGTTTCTGTTTCAAGTCCTTTCGAGTCCTTTTAAATAAAATAATAATATATTTACACAGATCACTTTGGGTTTTGGAGAAATTATCAAGACTTGTCGAGTCAAAGGGCTCAAGTCCAAGTGAAGTCACGAGTCATTGATGTTAAAGTCCAAGTCGAGTTGCAAGTCTCTTTACATTTTGTCAAGTCGAGTCTAAAGTAATCAAATTGATGACTCGAGTCTGACTCGAGGCCAAGTCATGCGACTCGAGTCCACACCTCTGGTAATAACATTTTTATGATGCATCTAAGACAGGTTAAAGGAATAATAAATTGATTCAGAATGGACAGAATGAAAAAGAACAAATCAAAAGAACCGCTAGGGTTTAGCGATGAAGTTAGAGAGGTGGGTCTATGATGGTTTGACAAGAAAATAGAGGAAGACATAAGAAAAAATCTCATGGGTGTAATGGAAGAGGCCACGTAGGTGGTTGTGGCAACTGGTGGAGGAAGAAAGTTGTAGCTCTAGTGATACCCTACATGCAATATTGCACATAAATGTTGCACACACTGTAACAATTATGTTTGACCTGTGGGAAAATATACCACGACAAACCACTGCAGTTATAACATGTGGTGTTTTCGACATCATAATACAGTGCAGCTGCACTATGTGCTGCAAATGTGATATCTAAATAAGCGGGACCCGAGTTATTTTTAAGTGCAGGGAGATTAACGGTGACATGAGGTCACATTATAGGAGCCAAAACTTACCTAGGGAACATGCCATTGCAGATCCAACCATTCCTCCCCCGGATATAATAACATCATAAACTTCAGTTTTGCCTGCTTCGTCTCCGTGTTCAGTACACACCAACCCCCGCCTGATGACTTTTACAGCTGATACACGCTTTTCTGTGACCAAGCTCCGGCTCAGTCCGTTCAAGGCCAGAGCCGCCTTGGTGAGTTTGTGCATTGTCCGCTATTTAGCCGCTCCTCACGAGAAACCAGCCGTGTAATTAAACACACGAAGGCAGTAAAGACGTGGGAACCTAAAACCTGTCATAAGAAAACCTCCAGAAAACTCTTTTCCCAGCCCGTGTCCTATCAAGAGCAACAGCTCACCCCGGTCATGTTGTGTTGTTAAAAGCCAGCGCTGAGGAGAAAAGTACTTCCGGGTTCGAAACCAATCACAGACGACGGCTTCCGCGTAGGCACTTCCGCTTTTGTCCACAGATAGCGCTAATGACGCCGAATCGAAGAGAGGCCATTCCGGGTCTCGCGGAGCCCTTTAAAGTTCTTTTCTCGGACAATTTCTTAATTTAGTCTTTTTTTCTCAAACTCGACAACACAGGACATATGTTTTAAATTTTAGATGGAGAAACGTCCACCTTCAAACGCAACTAGTGACGTAAGTTATTTGTAGTCTGTTTGTCACCGACATCAGCGGCCGTAGGTTTCCATAGCAACCGGTCTTATTTTCTCTTTTTTTTACACAAACGTAAGTAATGCTTACAGACATATACATCAGCGAATGCTGCCATGGTTACGGTAGTCATGAGCAGTTTCTTGTTCTTTGTTTTATCGATCAGTAAACATCTCGTAGGTACAACGCCACCACCTTCAGGGATGGAAGTCTGTGATGTAAAGAATAAAGAGGCAAAATTACAAATTATAGTTATTTATATTTCAGATTTTTTTGGCAGAAATAATCTGTATGCTCAACTAAAAGTATAAAATCTTTACTTATTTATCCAAACATTACCAATTCTTTTTATGTGTTGTTTACTAAAATTTATACCATGTGATTGTTTTGAATTATAAAAGCAGAAAGACAGTATCTTTTGGTGCAGGTATCTTCCAGAAAATACAAAATACATTGAAAAACATATTTGGAAATCAACCATGTATTTTATATATGTATTTCTTCATATATATTATTCTAACTGACATAACGTTCCCAAGGCGTACTATTCCATTCAGAACAAACAAGACTTATAATTGTGTAAACAATTGCATGAAAGATTCCACCTAAATTAAAAGTCATATGTATCGTACAATTTTTAGGCCTGTATATTTTTCATTTTCTCAACCACTCAGCTTTAATCTGTGTACAGTATGTGATATGTATCGAAACCACATGATTGCCCTGAGTCAGTAGTTTCTGCGTAGAATCAGCGGTGGTTTTGATATGTGCACGATAACTAGTTTTGATTAAAAAGCGTATTGAATTTCCAACTCTTTTGGCCATACAGTAGTGGCCTTTTCTTTAAGTGTTATGTAGTGATGCAACATTACAGATCAGCACTGCCATAAAACACCACAGACAAAGAAATCGTCCGTCATAAAGTTTGTTTTTCTAACCACAATCCAGCCAGTACTCATTTATGGGACCCTAGCAGTTACAAAATGGAGCTTAAAAGTTCCACCGATATTGGTTTGTCTGTAGATTTCACATGGGTCACATGAAAATGCCAATAAGTTTAGTTTAGTTTTTTAGTTTTTAAGACTGCATAGGGCAGGTGTTGACCACACATGGCCACATTATTTGTCCTGTTCGTGTGGCCCAAAGAAACCCATATGACCCATGAGAACAGAGTGGGAAAACTTTTATTTGCATTACAACATCTAAATAAAAACACACCACAACCACTACACACAATTTTGCCACTCCCTCACTTGAATGCAAGTGAAATGTAGAAGCAGAGAGAAGTGTTAAATCAATGTAAATGACTTCAGCTGGTACTGTGGTACTTGTGGTTAAATCAATGTAAATGACTTCAGCTGTTAGTGCAGTACTGTGGTACTTGTACTCTGATTAACTAAGGGGCTTAGCATACAATCGTACAGGGCCTTGTGTTAATTGATGTTAATATTTAATTCTTATTCAATGTCACAGATTAAAACTGCAACTTCATTAATTCCAGGAAACTCAGTGTTATAAGTATTATTGCAATATTTTGTCAATATTCTACCGTGCAGATTTTTTTAACAATTAACAATCAACATGCAGATATTCATGGCATTGGTTCATTTTATTTTTGTTTTATTTCTTCTTGAGTGATCACAAATGTAGATCCCTCTGTTCCAGTTTTAGTAACCTGATGTTAAGTATGTCACAGCATTGTGTGTTTACTATGCTGACAGTTTTCCTACAACAAACTCGTTATATATTGTTGTGCTGATCGTATCGCAATATATTGTATCATTGTCCCTATATCGTGATATGTATCATATTGCCAGATTCTTTCCAAAAACACACCGATAGTTAGAAATATGGTGAGTAGATTGCAAATACCAAATGTAACCACAAAGAATATAAACTCTTGCAACCCATGGCTTTACTGTAGTACAGTTTGTTAAATAATAAGTATCAAGTACAAGTAGTATGTTCAGGTTGTTTGAGGATCTCTAATCCTCATGAATGTTTTCACTACTTTGTTGTTACTGGCAGAATAAATGTAAAAGAATCCTGTTACTGCAAGGAATGAAGATTAAAGGATGAAAGGGCCATCAATGTGGCCAACTAATATTTTAGAAACTATTCCAGAAAAAAGAATTGAGATAAACACAGTGTTGGAACTGCATAGACGTCAACTGCTTTTAAGCACAACTACGAATCATACAGAAGCTAGCTAATTTTACAGGTGTCTAATGTCACTAATTTGACACAGTTAAAAATAATTACTTGTATAAATTGCTTTCCTCTCTGGGTTTCTTTGTCTTTGACAGGCAAACATGTCACAGATAAAGGTCTTTCTGGAAGATGAATTCCGCACAGAGTTAATAATGCAGCAGCGGCACCTGAAGAACCTGAGCCGGACGCTCAGCCAACAGCTGCAGGAGACAGGGAAGAGGCAGAAGGAGAAGTTGGTGGAGTTGGAGAAGAAGATTATTCTGTCAACACATGCACAACAGGAGCCTAGTTTTAAAAAGCAGCTGAACCATAAGTAAGAACGTATGGGTTTTTTTTTTCTTTTTTAAAATCAATGATAACGTCAACTGCACTTTCTAAAACATTTTGTTTTTCAGAACTGTAGTAAAGAGGAGGTCGTTCTCAGATCACCACAGACCGAGAGAGAAACTCAATTCACCTTCTTCAGCCTGTTTAACTTCAAAAAAGTTGAAACGTAGCACAGTGGGGACGTCCAAGCAGTCGGCCACGGAGACGCAGCAGTGTGAACGTGTTTCGTTGTTAAAAACAACGCAAACACACCAAGAGGAGAATGCTGTGGCTGAATGTCAGAGGAAGTTTACTGCTCTTCCTGTTCCCAGCCATGTTACCCGGCCTCTCTTTCAAGAGATGAAGGAGTTGAAAGACAAAGAGAGGAAGGAGTGTCAAGAGCAGAGGAAGACTTTTCTGCTTTCTTTGCAAAAACCTTTTAGTTTCCAAGTGAGGGAAAACGGGAAAATGGAGAAGCTGGTAGCCAAAATGAACCGACTCACTCAGGAAGAGACAGACAAGGCAGCTTCTGTCAAGAAAAGTGTGCAAAATAAATCAACATTCATCAAAATGGAAAAAGACTCACAAGACCGTGACCAGGAAGGTTTGTTGTCATTTTTTATACACAAAAACAGTTTTATTATTTAAAACAAGTAATAAGTTAAACATGAGAAATGTTGTCACTGATCCATTACATCAGTGAATCTCAACCTATTGCCCAGAGGCTGATAGGGATTGTCAGGTGTAATGTCGAAAGTGTTTCAATTTCACCTGTCTATGCTGCAGTGATGGGCAGAACACTAAATATTCTTCCACTAGGTGGTAGCAGATAGCTATGAGAACTAAAGTTGTTTTTAAAAATAATCTTTGTGTCTTTCTTCAATTCCTGGGGGTTAACAGCATTGTGTTCAACTAAATAGGCTCATGTTTAAAACTTAGTAAGAACATTGCAAGAAAATTTACACTAGGAAACTAGGAAAAAACTGCACTACATAAATATTTTTGATTGCAAAATAAGTGACCTTAGCTCACCTGCTCTTTTGACCACAACTTTGTCCAGCCCAGCAAGAGGTCTGCAGGCCAGTACAGGATCAGAAGTCTGTTCAAAAGGGGATGCCTGTTGTGTGCTCCAGCCCAAAACATCGTGCTGCCGACCGCACCAAGAAAGAGAAGCTTGGATTCCTGGACGAGCAGCCAAGTTTCCACCCAAGAATCAATCAGCAGGTCCCTGATTTCGACAGGTTACACAAGGCCCTGCAGACTGAGGTGCTGAGGAACAGTCAGAGCAAAGAAGGGACAAAATGTCAGCCCTTCTACCTCAGAACATCAGCTCTGCCTCAACGGCAAAAAATAATCAGCCCGGAAACGTCACAGGTAAAACGTAGATCAACTGTGTCATGTTGCATTGCACTTGTAATGATATTTCAGGAGCTGTAGTTAAATTCCCATGTGTTGAAAACGGTCTGATTTTCTCTTTGTTTCAAAATTTTTCAGTAATGATGATTTCTGCCCTGGAAAAAATTTTTTTTTACAATGACTATGTAATGAGACATGTGGGTCTCCAAAGAACCAGATCCAGATGGCTTTACATTATAGTCCTGCTTTAGTTTTTTTACACCTACAGTACCCTGTTTGATGGATGGTTAAAGACACACCCACCCACCACTTTTTCGTGTTGGTCTCCGCCTTCTTAAGGGCAGGAAACCACTAGACGTTTCAACAGTCATCTGAAATGTTAAAAAAGGAGCCAACACAGCTGTTTACTCCCCAGTTCTGCTGAGTGTAGAATGGTCCATCCTGTATTCCTGTGGTCCCCCAAATAGTCAAGAATGTTTATTTCAAAAAACGTGACAAAGGAATTTGACCAGGTCACATCTGACTGTTTCCCATTTGGTTTGATGATAGAGATTTATTGTAGGGTTTCTTTTCTTCAATGTGTGTTATTTCTGAGGCCCTTCAGACCACTGCCCTCAGATGTGGAGCTGTAAATCTATTTCAAATGTGTACAGTAAGCCACGCTGACAGAAGAATGATTCTCATACTTACAATCGTTGTATTTCAGTCTTTCTGCACCTCAAAGGTTTAAATCCCTTATGTCTTGAGTTAAATGTAGAAGATTCTCACGGTAGGCTTTGAATAACAGTTTTGATAAATAAAAACGTTTGTGCTAAGCTGTTAACGAAAGGGGGGCATTAATTTATAAATACAATTATAATTTTCCTCATTTTAAAATCCATCTTTGTAGTAATACTGCATACTACTGTAGTACTGTAGTATGAACTGCACTGGCTCTTGTTTAAATTTAATTTTCAATTGCTTTAGCTTAACAAAACCTGTTCAATATTATAAGATATAAAAATAACATAAAATAATATATAATATTTAAAAAGAATCCAGAATTATATAATATAAAAAGAACAATAAAAGTTGCAGTACCGGTTTTTCTAATTCCAATTGTTTCTGATTTTTCATTTTCATTTTTTTTTCAATGTCAAACTCCAACCATGTGGCTTGTTTATTTAATTTTAAATATAATTTTTAAACACTCTCCGTCACGTTACCAAATCAGGAACCATCCCTTTAGAAACCTGACGTTTTCTCTGATGTATAGTTTGGTTTCTCGTCCCGCTCCTGAGGAGACACAGAGAGTAAGAGGTGAATGATAGCACCAGCAACAAACAGAAAGATGACATCACTCCAAGTGGCGGCTTTGGCAGTAGCAACATGTAGTTATGTGGATTCACCACGTTCTCATGGTGATAAATGGGGTTTTCTATAAATTTCAGCACTATTTTTTCACTATATGTGTGGTCTTAATTGTCCTTAAGGTTTAAAGTGAATTAAAGTGATTGTCAACTGGTGGCTCGTGGGCAGTCCAGTCCCCAAGGTGTCTATGCAGAGAAATTCTGACATGTAAAGTTGGAGACCCTTGATTTATGCCATATGTCAATGAAGCTAAATTAAGAGAGAGATTTTAACAATTGTTTGTCCTATATTGACAGGAACCAAAGATAAGTCACCTCAACAGAAGTAGATCACTGGGGGCCTTGACGTCACTGTCCACAGACACACTGCCCACCTACATCACCGATGCTGCGAGGAGGCGCAGCATGGCCATCAGGTGAACTGGAATACTGGACTCTTACACTTGTGGCACATTAGAGTTACTTACACACTCAATGATCTTTACCTTGACAGAAAATCACAGGAGTTGCGGCACAGTAAGGAGCAGGAGAGTGAAGACTGGTTTAAGAAGTACCAGCTGAGGTCCCAGGCCATGAGGAGAAACGTCGGCCTCCACGCCAAGTCGTTGGACTCCAACCACGGCCTGAAAAAAGGGTTTAAAGAAAAACTCAGGAAACATATGTGAGTACTGGTAAACTGAGAGCATATATTTTCTGCAACATTACAGCCTTTACAACACAATAAAAACACAACAGTAAACTCCAAACTGCTGTGACATGAAGGATGGCTGACCAACAACGGATGAGGGAGTACAGCAAAGAGCTGCAGGAGATGAAGACGCGAGTCAGCGAACGGCCTTTTCTGTTTGAGCAGCTGAAACAGGTACGCGGCGCTAATCTGTCTCTGTCGTACTGTGAACGGAGGCGCGCAAATAATCGCCGGTTTTTAATTGGCAGAAAAATGCTAGGGCTCTGGCCGAGCAAACCTACAGGAACACACTGAAGAAAGCTGGCGTTACGGAGCGGTTTGTTGAAGAAAAGGGAGCAGCGGTCGAAGAGTCGCCCATGTCGTCCGGTCTTGAGGGCGACAGTGACGACAATGACCTCAGCAATGATAATTACATTCAGAGCAGGTATGCGTAGATTTTTCTTTAGCAGGTCTTGTTCATGCACTATGTAATCCCACTGTGTCCGGTAAAATATGAATAGCACAGCAGCTGTAGGGCCAAGGACTTCATGTGGTTTGTTCATATTATATTACATAATTTTCCTGAGCTTGCCCTGCCATCTTTGGGCATAAGCTGTAGCCAAGTTAAAGTTCGAGGTAATTATAATATAGCAATTTTCTAACCACACATGTCTGATTTAGGGAAGAAAATGTAGACGACGGAGAGAAAATTGAAGATGTGGACGAGGAGAGCGTGAAGTCCAGAGGGGAAGAAATGCCATGATCAAAGAGGTTCGTGCGGCACGGATTTTCTTTCTTTTTTCTTTTTTTGCGGCCACTCCGCCAGAAAACAACACTGTCTTCGAAAATGATTCATGTCACAGTTAACTATGAGCACTAAACATGTGATCGTTTGTGATGTGTAAGTAGAAATTACGAAATGACAAAACAGTTGAACTCTGACATCCACAGATGCTGATTACGGCCGGAGGAAAATAAAAAGTTTATGGCACAGCATTATTAAGTAGTATTTTTCATAGTTTGGGTTCAGAACACACACACATTCAGGTTTCGTGCAGCTATTCCTGTCAGGATTCTACACTGACTACTATTCATTTTGCATGAAAAGCCCAAACAGAACCTTCGTACTCTAACCCTAACAACTATTCACATCTTTATTACACTTTCACCAGAGCCTCAGAAGTGAGATTGTGTTTCATAAGGACCAGGATTTTTGTCGCCATTTGAACTGCTGGTCTGAAGAAGGAATTATAGTCGGCGGGTATTTTTTTAAACATATTGAATTCAGAAAAAGAAACCACTCTTTGCATGTAACCAGTGAAATACCCAAGTGATGACACCACAGCAGTAGGCATCACTTGGTTGTCCCTCCAGGTGGCGAATGAGTTTTGGTGCTTGCTCAACTCCAGTCCTCTGACTTCAGGCCTGATGCTCTAAGCCAGTCATGTCCAACATCCGACCCAGGGCCCAATTCTGAGCCATGGTTAAATTTGTACTCACAGCTTCTGTCATAAAATGCATCACTTGTGGCTAGCCAACTAGAGCATTGTTTCCCAAAGACTGAGTCGGGACCCTTAGGTGGGTCGCAAGAGTTTTTTTTTTTGGGTCCTCTCGCATCATGTTAAACTTAAACTTAAACTTATCTTTATTACCCAGGGTCGCAAAAGTTTGTGACTCTTAAAATATAAATGGGTCCCCAGAAAAAAAAGTTTGGGAAACACTGGGCTAGAGTATTCAGTAAATACAAACAAATTACGTCTTTCTGAATTATATTCGCTAATTTTTTTATCTCTAAATGTAAATTGAATTTCCATAAAATAGTTCATTTGTATTTCATTTCAATAGATCGCAGAATGTGAGGCAAAACGTGAACAGTTGGCCATCACGCATGTTCACCTCATCAAATATGGCCGCCTTTTAAAATTTTTTTTGCAGACCACTGATTTAAGCACGAAATGGAAAAAAACAAATGCAATAAATATATAAATAATATTGGGACATACTGTAATGATCAGCTGTTGCCCGGGAAACCACTTTGCACGATGCCCCGAAGCAATTTACAAAGACTAAAGTCTAAAACTATACCCCCCCGAACACAAACTGTGTTTAACTACCATACCTAAGCTGGTGTGTTAGATTGGACCAATGGGCCGGCCTTGGCCGCCCACATGCATTAGTGAGCCTTGGTCATTTATGACTCTGGTTCACTGGTTTTCCTTCTTTAGAACTCTTTTGATAGACACTGACCACTGCAGACATGGAACAACCCGTAAGACCTGCTCTGACCCAGTCCTCCGGCCATCGCAATTTGGCCCACGTCAAACTCATATTTTCATACTGTACTTTCCATTTTTTTCCCTAAACTTGAATATTCACTTGCTGACTAAAATATAATCAGCAGGTGGGATGACATAGAGATAATCAATGCTATTTAATGGCTGTACGGCAGGCATGGGCAAACTTAGGCCCGGGGGCCGGATGTGGCCTGTTTAGCTTTTTAATCCGGCCCACCAAACTTTTCCATTATTTATATTATCATTATACATCTGCCTTTTCCCTGCAATAACCACGTTTCACCAATAGATGTCACAGAAAGTGATAAAAGCATTTCAGCATCTTAGCATTTATGCATGACTTTTACACGAACGCTCCATCTATCTGCTCCTAACCCGGCCAATCGTAGACCGCCGGTCCAAAAGTTTCCCACGCCTGGTCTATGGTATATCTAGCCTCCTTTAGTGTCACCAAACATTATTATTTCAGTGTCAATTTCACTCTAATTTCCTAATCATCCATTTTTACATCACATCCATCTTGACATCCAAAATAACTCTTTAAATCAAGTATCAAATTATGGAAAGGTCCTCGAAAGGTAAGGAAAAAAACAACAGTTGTACCACAAACACAGACACAATGAGGACACCACCTACTGCCAGGGTTTTTGGTCTTTCACCAAAGATCAGATCTGGAATTGCCACATGAGATGGAATGAAATGTATTTATAGTGTGAGATAAACTGGATCTGACTTCTCTCTTCAAAGCACTTGACTTGGTTCAGTAAAAAAAAAAAAAAATTCCAATAAATTTGTACATTATTCTTGGCCACATCGCCAACCCTCTGACATTGGCTCGTTTCAGATAGCTGGGTTAAAGATTTTTGTGCAGCCGCACAGCCGCTTAAACAAACAGCCCTGGCTGTGTGACTGCGTTCACACAGAGTGGCCCAGTGGTTTGCTCCAAGCCCACAGACCCACATCAGATACTCTTGTTCTTGCACATTTGCTCTTTACTTGCGCTTTGACAGCTGACTACCCAAAGTCGGAGAGATCATTTTAACTTACAAACCACATTGTAAAGTCTGGATATGTCTATAATCACCATCAAAAGGATTTCATGTAGACGGTTACATGGCATATGGTTGCCTTTTGTAGGCTAGTGGGTCATACGTTGAGGGCTGCCTTTAAACTGATGCCTTTATTTACATTAGGTTAAAATTCAATTTCAAATCACTGCGGTTTTGCCTGAAGTGACCTTCTGAGAAAGAGTGGTGTTCCGAAATGTATCATAGAGATAATATGCGACATGGCAATACATACAATTTTGTGATAATGACAGAGAAAATGTTGCTTCTGCAGTTTAACCAAGACCTGAAAATATGTACGTACGAACATCTCTGTGGTTGTCACAGCAGATCTCCTGCTGTCATCGTCTACTGTTACACCGCCTTTTCCTTCAAGTTGGAACGACCAAAATCGAACGGCAATTTTGAGTAAAGAAAAACTTGTTTTTACAGTAATATTTTTATCAGGTTTCCAGTAAAGATTTGTTTAGAATTTGATTTTTCTTTGCTTTCAAAATATTATTGAAAATTTAAAAAGGGACTAAAATGAAACACAGTTCAGTGGTTTACAAAGAAATAAATTGACCATGGCAGAAACTTGAGAGACTGTCATCCCTTATACGGTAATCATACCGTAAACCCATCTGCCACTTCGACTGCACAACTCACCACTATTTTATTGTCCTGAATTATAATTATAATTATCTGATTTCTATCCTATCTTTCACAAATGATCACGCCCACATGAACACCGTACCACTGTCCTGTCTTTGTTCATGTTCTGCACCACCCTCAAGTACTTCTTTGCCGTTTCTGACTTCCTCATACTTTACAATTCCTCCTTCCTCTACCCTTTCACATGTTTTCTTACCGTCCCGAAATACACAGCGCAGCATCTTGTGACCTCTTTACTTTTCCGATCACACTTGGAGACTTTCTTCCCTGCTTGCAGCTCTTGTTCCGTCACCCCTGACACTCGTCTCCACCGACTCCACCCTGCCCGTAACCTGTCTTTCACCTCTTTTCGGTGATCCGCATAATTGGTTTGGCACAGGTTATTTGTTGGATGCCCTCGCTGACTTCACTCCCTGGGTTTATTTTAGCCTCCAACTGGCACAAGGACGACTTGTGGCTGAGCTTTGCATAATTGCGATGATGGTAATTGCAATAGATGCTAAAAATGTTATTATAGAGGATTTCCCAGTAGATCTCAAAACACGGCGTGACAAAGCTTCAAGGGCTTCATCCTGTCAGGTTGTCATGGGAACGCTGTATCTCTCCCCACTCTGTGTTTTAGTCCCCCGGGAGAAAGCCGCACGCCCCCTACTCCTCCGGCACTTGGCTGAAAACAGATCCAACCTGTCGTAACATCCAAGCGGGAACTTGCATCCCGAAAATGTGTGAAGCAGCCGGCGCCTGTAACATCCGTTTAAACAAACTACAGCACCTTATATGAGCGCGGTGGCTGAGGACCAGGAACAAACACTTCTTATTTGGATTAATGAGAGGCTGTGCTCTGGGCCACCAAATGTTATGATCATGCTGTCGGAGGTGTGGCTTTCCTTACAGTATGAACAATATAATTTCACCAAGGTGGCGTGTTCGGGTCTCTTATTATTCCAGCCACCGTGCAATGTTAAAATTCCCACACGTTTAATTTTGTAAATGCACAGTTTGTCGGCTGCCAACGACACACCCTGAAATAGATGATAAAGGCCTTAAACCAACTCCCCCCGCCCCCCCTTAAAACACGTACAATTACGCTGTGTGAAATGCTCACGTTGTGGTTATTGTGTTGTTCAATTTAATGACTTGTTGCTCAGAGTTCACTTGATTATAAAGTGAAAGTGCGAGTGCCAAGAATGTGCTTCCAGTGCAGTTTCTGCAGCTTTGAGTGCACTCGCCTCTGGTGTGTTGTGGTCCCTGATTCACCTGCAGGAGGAGCTGCAGCATCTCTGGAGCAGAAGAGAGAGACATTCCACTTTTCTCCTTCAGTGGAACGGACAAAATCCCCTGTACTGGAGAGAGATAGAGAGACGGGGACAGATAAAGAGGGTGAGAGAGAGAGAGAGAGAGAGAGCAAGAGAGAGAGAGAGTGGGAGAGAGGAAAACAGAGAGGGGGGAGAGAGAGCAGCCAGTGTGACAGATTAGAGCAGAACTTGTCTCCCTGACTGCACTGAGGGCTGAGGAAAGAGAGCAAGTGCACCAAAGTGTCAGGCAAGGCTGCACACAATCTCACTCACTCACTCACTCACTAACAGACCCCTCGTCCTGGCCGCACCAGAGGAAGTTCAGATTGAAGACTGACCTGCAGAAGGTAAGTCTCAAACTGCGGGAACCACATCTCCTGCAGCCCATGTCACCCGTCCCCATGTCACCCGTCCCTCCCCCATTCATGTCTGAAACATCGTTAGAAAATCACCTCCGTGTTGCACATCACTTGCCGCTCCACTTTGTCTTCCAGATTGACTCAAGTGTTATGGCTGTCCTCCCCCTGAGGCGTCTTGTCCTGTAGAGGAGCTGCGCGTTTCTGATCCACAAAGACCCGTGTCGTACCGTCAGCCCGAGGGAGGATGGAGGAGCTGTCAGGGAAGGAGAAGGAGCTGATACGAGGCAGCTGGGAGAGCCTGGGCAAGAACAAAGTTCCTCACGGTCTCGTCATGTTCTCCAGGTAACGTCCCACACATCGAGCATCTGTCGGAGTCAGAGACAGAAAAGTGTCAGAGACAGAATCTTCCTGTAACAGGTGTGCAGATGGAATCATACTAAATCCTTGGTCGCACACTTTTACCATTCAGCCACCGACGGCTTGACTTGTTGCCTGGCGACAGACCTCATCAATCTACATTTTACATTTACATTTAAATAGCAGGAGTCAAAGTCTGACACAGAATGTTTTTTTGATTTTTTTTTATATTATTACTGTTGAGTCCATTTGCCAATATGTAAATGCAGAAAAGATTATGATTTTTAATCATAACTGAGCATCTGTGCCAATAATATTATTCAGCATTAATGAGCTGATGTGCTCAGATGAACTGAGGCTCATGTCGGTGATCAATTTTTAACACAAAAGTACAACAAAATGTAGTTCTTGTTTAATAAAAAATACAAATATTATATTATATTTTTGTATTATATTTTAATAAAAAATAAAAATTAAGAAAATAATGATTTTTAACATCTAGTCACAGACCTAAAAAGGCCCCCGCACCGGGAGTTTGCCCTGATCTAAAAGATAGAATCACTACATAAAAAACTCAGTTAATGTTTCAACTGTCACTTGTAAAATTTTCCAGAACTTTCCAAAACTTAAAAACTGCTTTAAGCCAGACAAAAGTATGTTGAAAGCAAGTGGGAGAAAATAGCCTGGAAAAGGAAAGGAGAGGCAAGAACCCAAAGAACACTGGCCTCCACATGGAGCCGGGAGGTTAATACTGTGGAATGATGGGCATTCAGTATGAAAGAACAGATGAAAGATTAAAGAAAACAAACAAACAAACAAAACCAAGTCAAACAAACAAACAAACAAAAAACCTAAGCGGTCATCAACCAAACTGAGAAAATGACCTCGCAAAGATTTGGGTATTAAAAAAAATTATCGGACAACATTTTTTTCCTGGCAGTCAGGAGGCTAAGTGAAAATTATCTAAATGACTGCATTTGTAGTTCAGCAAAATATATGACGAGGACGCAGTAGATTTGACTTTGTTATATCTGAGTCTGTAATCTGTATAAAAATATTTGCGCATAAAAACTTGACAAGTACTTGTAGTAAATGATTGGTGCAGTACACGGTGTGTGCGTACAACTGTTCAATACTGTGGTGTTTGTGTGTGGCAGATTGTTTGAACTGGACCCCGCGCTCGTCAGTCTTTTCCACTACAGTCCAAACTGTGGCTCCACTCAGGACTGCCTGTCCAGCCCTGAGTTTCTGGAACATGTCACCAAGGTGAGGCGGCTTCACCACAATGACCGCTACAATCACACAGTCACCAAGGTGAGGCGGCTTCACCACAGTGACCGCTACAATCACACACACCTCACACTTTTTTGTTTTGTCCTGTATTGTTTTTCTTATATTTACTCCACCAGGTAATGCTGGTGATCGACGCGGCGGTCAGCCACCTGGACGACCTTCACTCTTTGGAGGACTTTCTGTTCAACCTTGGCAAGAAGCACCAGGCGGTCGGAGTCAACACGCAGTCATTCGCAGTAGGATCCTGCGTCTCCTCTTAAAACTTTCAAAACTCAGTTTCGCAGGTGGATGATCTGTGACCAGGCTTGACTTTTCTTTTTTCATTTCTGCAGGTGGTGGGTGAGTCCCTCCTCTACATGCTACAGTGCAGCCTGGGACAGGCCTATACTGGGCCGCTGCGTCAGGCCTGGCTCAACATGTACAGCATCGTGGTGGCCGCCATGAGCCGAGGGTGGAGCCAGAATGGCGAGGACAAGGCCGACTGAGGCGCTCAGCGGGGGCCGCTGAGCAATTGCTCTGAAATCGCTCGGCTTGGTTGCCAAGGAATGAGGTTGTGTAACTTGGCCGCCGTGCATTTACTCTGAGAGCGGGGGTCATGTTTGTTACAGAATGTACAGAGAGCGCACCTGGAGCAGAGTTGATTTTCTTTGCTGTGGATGTTCAGCAGACACAGGTGACGGTGCGAAGGGTCAGTGCGTCTGAGCTCCAGACACTGAGAAACAGGACAACAGCGTAGTCTTCGTGTTTTCAGTGGCTTTGATATATTTACTCAAACGTGAACACCAGTGACTGTAGTGAACTTTGTGCCGTATCTAAAAGAGTTCCAAACAGTAGATGTTACACTGTATTTAAGCATCAGACACTACTTCAACTGTGACGATTGCTGTGTCCAGCCGGCAGCTGTTTATCAACCTGGAACACAGTGATATTTAAATGTAAATGTTTGAATTTAGGACAAAAACAATGAAGAGAAAAACACAGTGATTACAATCATTACTGTGTTTTTTAAATGTTGTTTATTATTGCACTTTGTTACACCTCTGTGTTAACCTACATTGAACTAGTTCGTAATATTTTAACATGACAAGAACTGTTATAAAACAATAGCTTTTCTTCTGTCCATAACGACTGTTAAGACATAGATGTACACCTATTTCTGATGGTGTATGATGCTCTCTCTCTCTCTCTCTCTCTCCCGCACTCCCTCTCCTGCAGAGGTTGTGAGTACTCTCTCTCTCTCTCTCTCCCTCTCCTGCAGAGGTTGTGAGTTTTTTTCAGTAGACTTTAGCCGACTGTTAACCTCTGACTTTTAGACTGTTACGCGTCCTCTAGAGCACAGAAGCGACAGCAGTGAGGAGCGAGTCTGACTGTTCTGTCCTGCACCTCTCAGTATGCAGTTGTTATCGGCGTACAGTAATATTTTTCGTGTACCGTGAATGTCCATTTCAGTAGTCGCTCTGTTGTTGTGGTTACGGCCCAAGTGTTGTTTCCACCTCGAGACGAGCAGTGAGGTGTTAAAATATATATATAAAAAATCTTAAAACTAAATTTTCTCAGAAATAAGTACATTTTATTTAGAAAACAAAAATCCTCTAAATTAATAATTAATTTCTGCCCCTCTATGTATATTAAATTATTAAAGGAAATATATTACATATATTAAAATAAATATATATTAAATGTAATATTTATTAAAAAGTCCTTAAAAGTTGATGTTCTCAAAAAAAATTTAAAATTGGCAAAACTTCACTGAAGGCCAGTTTACGGGCCACATTAAGCCCCCGGGCCATACTTTGGATCTCACTACTTCATAATATTGACTTACTTGGAGGGAACAAATAACACTGACACTGTGTGATGATACAATCATATATTCAATAATATATTGTGTGCGTGTTTCTTCTTCTTGCTGTTCTCTCAGCTGTTCTTTACGTCATATTTGCCAAGTAACTTAGCAGCCCTGCGCCACGTATTAGATAATAACAGCACACGACTTTAAATCCCAGCTGCTGATATGTGGTTACAATTGCTTTATTCTGAGTTTACATTTTAAAAAGTTTATTTTTATATTCTGAAATGTTGGTAATGTGTATTGATTTTTAAATATCAAATGTGATGTAAAGGATGTGATCCAGACATATATATATATATATATATATATATATATATATATATATATATATATATATATATATATATATACAGTATATATTTGTGTTGATGCCTATATAAGAAAATTCTAGATGCAGGATATATTTAAACTATATATTGGAAGAAATATTATTACCTCTTAATTAGGGATGTCCGATATTAACATTTTGCCGATATTGTCTGAACACTTAATGTCCAATTCCGATATCAACCAATACCTATATAGGCCTGGTAATATTTATTTATTTATCTGTAAAAAAGCACTGTATGAGTATAAGATTAATTAAATGAGCTGCAGTGCTGCCATCTAGTGGCTTTCACTTTAATATACAGTCGTTTATCCCCAAAACTGTTTTTAGTGCACACATCATTTGGCGAAACCTAGGCATTGCATTATCGAGTTTTCATTATCTGAGGAAAAAAATGATAACGATTCTGACAGATATTACATAAGATGCTAATATTGGCCGATATTATCGGACATCCCTCCTCTTAATATGTAGTTCTTACAAATACACACGAAAGAGAGATTTAAAAATTAATGGAGGTATTTAAATCCTGTGTACTGTGTACCGTTCAGTGTGAGCCCACAGGTATGATGTTTGTCAAATGATTGTGTAGTGGTGTGTATTTTTATATTGCCTCTTTTCTTAGTATCAGTACTCAGCCTCATGCAGGATGTT